CCCCAAAACCCCAAAACCCCAAAACCCCGTCAAAATCTTTAAATTTTGAAAATCCAAATTACCCAAAAGGATTCATCTTTTTCATATATTTTATTTTGTCGGCTTCTCAAGAAGCAGGGCGACTGTGCCTGCGAGGAGGGTGAGAGCCAGCATTGTGGATACAGGGATACTTTCAGGCTTGAGTTCGGCTACTTCGGGAGCTAAGCATGCGAAGATATGGGCAATGAATGAACAGACGGAGAATGCGAATGGGGTGAACAGGGCAGGGAAGAATTCAGAGTTGGAGTAGTAGCTGACCATGAATGCGCCTCCGAGGAAGAGCTTGCACCCAAAGATCGATATAGCAACAATAACCACATCCCTGGTCACCAACAACGGAATTGACGTCCCAAAAGCAGCCACTAGGAACACCAAAAATGTATTCTTTGTCCCCACTCATCTCTGTACAACACCTGCTCCAAAAATCCCCACCAAATCCGACACTCAGGTTGCCAACATGTTAACATAAATATCTCCACCAACATACTTGATGTAGAAGGCTACCATGTCGAAGTTAAAGATCAAGACTGTGAATAGGACTATAATTCATAGAAAGTTTTTCAAATTCTTTCTGTTTTTGAGTTCATTTAATGCTGAGTATTCTTCCTCTACAATGTTTTTAACTTCTACCTATGAATGTCAGTGTTAAAGAGCTTGATCTTGAATATTAGACTTTTCATGGGCTATACTATGAACCAAAAATTGTGTACTTGCTAACAACAATCTCTGAGAATCAGAGTTATCTTTCTCTTGTTCATCAATTAAATAAGCCTCGTCCATTTCAACCTTATTAAAGCTAGCAATAAAAGAGATTGCCTCTCTAAGCTCTTTCCACATTTTCTTCTCATACAGATATCTCGGAGACTCAGGAATAACTAATGAGAAACATAATGCGATTAGAGCTGTCACTGCTCCATAAATTCAGAAATTACAAAGATCTCTTGTTTCTATATAAATTATCAGTATAGCCGTGCAAATCTTTAATCCTACTATGATCTCTCAGAAGTATGAAAATGAGTTTGAAGAACCAATTACCTGGATTTCAGAAATATAAATATGCTACGTTCAATACTTTCGGAATAGTTGCTTCCATTGCTAAGACAATAGCTCCATAAAATACTTGATGCTTCGATCAAATCACTTCAACACAATAAATATAAACAAGATAGTTCTTTGAGAAGAGAAGTCCTTCTGAAAATAAGACTACATAGATTACATATATGCTCGTTGTGTAAAACAGTACTAAGCATGACATTGTTTGAGCTATGCAGGTAAATATCAGCATTTTTCTTCTTCCAAAATGATCAGCTTGTTTTAGAATTACTCCATTTAAAGCAACACCTAGAATTCAGAGAGATCCAAATAACCCTATCCAAAAATCTGAATAACAATACAGCTGAAGCTCTGTCATCCAGTTTCTAAAGGAGAATTGGTCTGTATAATCCACTCTCCAAAGGCTCCTATAACAAAATGAGTTTCTCGAAAATTATATGAGCAAACATGCTAAAAGTGTATGTCTTTGTTCTTCAAAATTTCAAGATAAAATAGTGTCTCAATAATCCCTAAAACAACAAAAACGCTAAGCTTACTCATCTGCCAGCTCTCCATTATGACAAATATCCTGTTTTGTGCATTCAATCCACTGGCTTCCTTGCTTGCATTCAAGACGAGGAACTAGCTCTAAAAATGGAAGACTAGCGAAGTATATTGTGAGGCCTAGAGAGGATATTGATCCATAAAGAAATACAACCAAACTCCAATTGCCAAATCCTCCTGCTTCTTCAAGCATCTGGTCTACATTCAGGATTCTTGGCTTGGAGGATACATTAGGAATAACTGCTTCTATAGTCTGGGTGGTCTTCGTTATGTGAGATTCTTTAGCTAATGAAGAGTCGTAATTCATTTTTAATTCAATTATATTTAGATATAGCGGGGTTTTGGGGTTTTGGGGTTTTGGGG